AGTTAATGATGGAGACTTAGATGCTTGGTAAAAACCAGTAAGTTATATATAGTGTGTAGCCGCAAAACACTAAAGTCTTACCTTTTATGATATTAAACGGAAGAAACATGCTTACATTTAGCGAGATGAGCTTAAGAGAATTAGTTTAGCGGTTAGTAATTATAGAGTTTATCGAGAAAATACAAGTAAGAGGTTCTAGTCGGGAGCTCCCGACTAGGGGATACCCTGAACCCTCTTCTTCCAACATCAACTGCATATATATATTCTAATTTAGAAGCTATATGTCAAGTTTGGTGACTCTAGCTCTTATTATTTACCAAAATTGCCCCAAAAACAGCATAACGATATCGATTCTTATCGATTGCTTGGAAACTGACTAAGTCATCCATTATCCGCATCTGCGCAGGCACTAGGAGCACCTACATCTAAAATTTCAAGTCTCTAGCTCTTATAGTATCTGAGATCCATGCGTTCATACATACGGACAGACGGACGGACGGACAGACAGACAGACAAACACACGGAGATGGTAGATCCTGATCAAGAATATATAAACTTTATGGGGTCGGAGATGCTTCCTTCTGCCTGTTACATACATTTGGATTTTGCACAAATACAATATACCCTTATACCCATTTTTAATGGGTTCAGGGTATAAAAATGTGTAAACGAAACAATGAAGTCCTTTATAACAAGTGTGTATACAACAAATATCTTTTGCAAAAGATAAAATGAGAGAAAAACAATTATAATATATAACAACAATGTAAGGAACAAAATATATATATAAAAACGTTGTGAAAAATTTGAACAGTTGCAGTTGGACTTGTATTTCAGGTCGACTTACAAAAATCACACGCAATACTTAACACAACAACTAATTGGCTCTAGTCGAGAGTTCAGGACTATAGGATCTCCTGTACCTTTTCATCCAACAGCAAAAAAATATATTACGAATAAAATTAATTCCTCAATATAACTTGAACCCGTAACAATCCGCATTACCTGCAACCGTCTCTGCTCAACAGCACAACCAACAATTGAGTCAGAATGAGAAAAAAACTGATTAAAATAGCAGCACATGATTATCGATTTTTATCTATTGCTTGGAAACGGGGCAAGTTATCGATTATCCGATAAAAACTCGTACTGCGTGGACACTAGGAGGACATATGTTCCAAATATTAATTTCTGTAGCTCTTAAAGGCTCTGAGATATTTGCGTATATATATACGGACAGACAGACAGACGGACATAGCTAGATCGACTTGGCTATCGATTCTGATCCAGAATATATTGACTTTATAGCCTTTTTAAAGACTTCTGGGTAAGAAATAGATGAAAATAAAATATAAAAAAAACACATACAATGCGGTAGGATCGTAGAACTTTAAACTGTTGTAGTTGGATTTGTATTTCAGTGCGACAAATATTAAGCGCAGCGATACGTTTCAAAAGTCTTAAAACTTTCCTCATACAATGTGTTCGAAAACAGCTGCAATAGGATCTGTATTTCTGGGCGACTTACACATCCAAAGGCAGCTTCTGACATCAAACCACCAGAAAATGTGGCAGAACAAGTTTGAATAAGTTGCAGACGTAAGTATATGACACAACCAGGTTTAATAGGTTACAGCTGCTGCTAGATTTCATTGCGACGTGTAGACTAAAGGAAGAAATATAGTGCCACTTATGGATAAAAGCAAAATCGTCATATTAAATCGCTTCAACCTAGCTCAGCTAGTCAAGAGCAAAGAACATATGGCAATTATTCTCAATACACGTAAACACTTCTAATAAAGCTTCAGTCTTCAGATAAAACACATTCCACAATTCGCACAAAGGAAACACGATCAACCACAGCGAAGAACTCGGTCGTTCTTACTCATCCTATACATAAGCATCAAATAGATGGATAACTTTGAATATGTAACCCAATCAAACACCAAATGTACAATCTCGATATATATATAATTAAGACTAGAGCTTAAGTCACAGTAAAGAAATGAAGGAAACAAACAAATAACAAACAAGTGAAGTAACAGGCAGAAGCCAGGAAAGTAAAGAAAATTATCCCGAATCCAAAAAGTAAACAGTGGATTAGTTCTTGCCGCACGGACGTTAGAGAAACTGAACACTTGTTGGCTTATGATACAAAACCAATGACTTTATATCAAGTTTGCCTCCTCCTCTCTCAACCCTAAACATACCAGACGCAATCCGAGTTTTACCTCCCTATGATGGTAATTCAAAGACATTGAGCGAATTTATCAAATTTATCTACTTATCAGAGGAACCGATCAGACCCCCTCCGGCCAGATGATATAAAGAACAATAAGAAATAAGATTGCAGATTGCAACCAAGGACAACGTATTAGCAGATCTGAATTGCAAATGTTTGATATATTTTGACAATATAGTTATCAAGAACACATTAGAGATTTAAGAGAATTATTTGACAAACTTAAATTTAAAGCTTCAACCAGCCAAATCAGAGTTCTAAAAAAAAACAAGTGAGAGGTTCTAGAGGAGCTCTCCCGACTAGGAAATACACTGTATCCTCATATTCCAACACCAAAAGCAGCTCGCACTAAGTGCTCGTTTGTAGTAATAAAGACAAATTAAAATAAAAAATCTTCCTTTGGCAGGGTTCGACCTCGCAACTAACCTCACAACTTGCCGCCGTCTTTACTTAACAGCCACAGCATTAAAACAAGTAAGAGGTTCTAGCCGGGAGCTCCCGACTGGGGAATACTCTGAACCCTCTTATTCCATCATCAAATCAATTAAAAAAAAAATCCCTTGGCAGGGCTCGAACTCGCGACAGACCGCACCACTTGCTATGCCTCTACTCAGCAGCCACACCAAAAATTAAGAACTTATGATAAAAAAAGGAACTAAAATAGCATGACAGAAAAATGTTGCAATTACCATACTGTTAGAATGCGAAGTAGACGCGCATAAATGTGTGTGTGTACATGTATACAGAAATTAAAATGAAAATAAAAAACAAAGTTTCCTCGACAGGGCTCGAACTCGCGACAGACAACACCACATGCCACCGCCTCTACTCAACAGCCACACAAATAATTAAGTATCAATGACAAAAAAAAAAAATAAAAAAAAAGAATTTAAAAAGCAAAACAGAAAACAATAAAATTGCAATCACAATGTTGTGGATAGAATTTGAAACGTACGTGTGTGTGCGTGTGTGTACATGTATACAGAATTTCTTGGAATTTACATGGCATACACGTGCACAGTCAGTACCGAAAAATAAAACAAAAACCGATCTAAATAAAATGTTCTACAGTATATCTTATTGCACCATAGAATATTTGTGTATTCTCAAAAAGTCTACTGCATTTAAAATGTGGTTTAAATTGGTTGGCAATACATGTTGGGTTATTAACTTTTTTTATTGCTCTGCGGTGGTAGTGGGCAGGTGGCGATAGCTATTATATGAAAGATACTTATATATATATATATATATAGAATATTTATATATATATATATATATATATATATATATATATATATATATATATATAATTCCATATATATAATGTTCTAGAAGCAATATATCAAGTTTGGTGACTCAAGCTGTTAATATTTACCCAATTTGCTTAAAAAAACAGGATTTCGATATCGATTGCTTGGAAATTCCTTGGAAATCGTACCCAGATTGTCAACAGCGAACACGGTGCATTTCAGCCCCACCTGAACTTATTTTGACTGTTGTTGCAAATTGTTGTGTCCGGGCTTAAAGTCCTTCCACAAAAAAATTTGTCTTCAGACCAAGTCTCTATTCGGTTTTAGAATGTTGCACAAAAATGATCGATCCTCTCCCAGCTCTCCATTTTGAACCTTTTTTATTGTGTCAGGTAAAGTTACTTTCCCTTCACGTTCTATTTATATCACCTGCTTCTATCCCCACCTTCTTCTGACAACCAAAATATCATGAATCATATAATCTGCATTAAAGAGCAATTCTTGATATTTATTCACTACCAATAATTACCTTGTGTTTAATATATACCTTGAATTTTATATTATTCCCTTACCCAAAAAGGGTTGAAAAGCTGTATTGCTTACTGTCCATTTTCCCTAAATTATTTAAAAAAAATAAAAATTACTGCAAATTTGCTGTATTTCTTCAAAGCAGTTGTGTCCCCTCCACAAGTTGGTTTCTAAAAAGGTTATCACGTACAACCAAATTTCATGATTTTACTTAATTTTTAAATTATGTTTTCCCTTATAGTATACAAGTCAGTGCACCATGACCTTTTAGTCTCCCTACCTATTTTTTGCTCTGAAGTTCTTCTTATTTAAACAGTGGAACCCATGCTGAGGTTGACTAACCACGTAGCAGGTTTAGATTTTTTCTGAATTACCTCAAGAAGGTCTCCGTTGACCTTTACTCCTTAATAAATTATCCCTCCCTTTTATCAAATGCTCTCTGCTATGTGCAAAGATTATGAGAATCTTATTATTTCCTACACTAATCCTTTAAATAACTCGTATCAATAGATGATTTGAACTCTTTGCAAATCTGGAATTCGAAAAAGGTGTATGCTTATGAGGCTTTATCTTACTAGGCCTTCTCGTGTTAGGTAGCTATGCATTCGAAAATATTTTTTTGCAATATTTACTAACCTAAGTTCTGCTGAAGCCAAAGATGCTCTTGGTTCCGTTTTTAATCAAACTGCTGTACATATCACTATTATGTCCTAGATTTGAGTACTGTTCACGTATCTGGTCTCCGCAGAATATTAGTCTAGATCACATTAAATTAATTAAAAAGTAATTGTTAAACGTATTTTTTCCTTATGCGGCTTACGCTGAAACTCCAATCTTCGGTTACTACCGTATTTTAGCAGGCTTATATTACTTAATTCTCCCTCTACGTTGTCTTCGTAATGTTATGTCGAAATGGGGTTTAATGAACCGATGTAGAAGGTATGTTGAATATTTCGTAAGTCATTAGTCAAGTCAACTCGAAGACACAATGTGCCCCACAAATATTACTTACGTGGCCTCTTCGTGGTGACCCTGGGTGATTGTCCAAAGTTGATTTGCACAACCAGCTTATTCGAGTGGCGAAACAAGATGGCCCATTCTTTATGTGACGGAAGATTAAACTGGATAGTAGAATTCTACGGCAGTCGGCCAAAAACTGTAAGTAAATTTTGGGAACCCGTGACCAGGAACCCGCGGGACTTGTTCCGACCTGACTTTTTGGTTGCAACCTTTCAGGGACTATCGTGGTGGATGCGTTTTAAACCCAAATCGCGGGAAGAGCTTTGCTCGAAGTGGAGGTGCGTTTCAGCCGAAAACATTGAATTTTTGAGGTTTTAGAGCGGCCTCACCTCCCACCAATCAGGGAATGTATTGCTTCCGTCAAGCATTCATTCTATGGGTACCGAAGGGACACTGTGCACGCAGGCTTTGTGCTTTTTGTATTTTCGAATACCGTGAGATTGAGCCGAAAATGCAGGCTTTAACGTAAAATACGCTGACTCAACTGGTACGTCTAACTTTAATTTAAGCTACTATCGATAATATAGATTCTTAGCATTCTTCTTCTTGAATTACGATCTCTAGGTCAAATTTTTTAATGAAATAGCTTTTAATACGACTTTTGAATTTACCTAAGTTTAATAAAGATGAAATAATAACACAAAAGTGGTGACTAGCAACATTCATTCAGCAGTGCAATAGGCGGGCCAAAGTGCATTTGAGGCAGCAAGTTCCCTAAAAGTACCACCATTTGCAAGCTATTCATCTATTCAAATGGGCCCTGCAACTGAGTAAAATTCCTAATGCTGACCACCACTATTATGCAAGGATGCACATGTAAGTTGAACTGAATATAGCCCCAAGTAACATATTAAGTCCGAGGCAACCAGACACGCTACAATTTACCATGATTAGCATGATTTTAAATTCCGCCAGCTACGTCAGGAACCAGAGGAGTCACTAAACGCGATTTTTTGCACTTGAAGGATGCTGCATTATTTTGGAAGTACGACTCTTCTGTAGGCTATCGCAAAACAGCGAACAACCTTTCCAGACGCATACGAGGCTGCATATTCCAGGAATTGTTACTACTATTCAAAACCAAGCTGCAGACACGGAGCCTAGATGCAAACTGTAATTCTCGCCAATCATCAATAAGCCTTCAACTTTTTGAAACAACGAATCAAGTCCTACGGATGTAGAGGTGAACATTTGCGCAAAGATTGAAATTAAAAAATAAAGAATGCTACGCATGTGGGAAGGTATGGCTTATGAGTAAGGTACAGACGAACCAGAAGTGATACAATTCATACAATTATCAATACCATACCAATGCCATCAAATCAGTGAGTAGGATATCATAACTATGAAGATTGATGGAATTCAAATACCACTGAAATTGCTCAAAAGTGCACCGTGCAGCATAATGAAGGATAACGCCCTCGGCAAATTAAACCTTCAATAAGCTTAAACTGACCGTAAATTTAGTCATACAGGGCACAGGATCATCTGTTGCAAACTTATGCGTATACACATACCTAAATCAACTAAGCATATTAAGGCCATCCTAAAAGCAATATAACCATCTACAATCAAACAGGTAAAACTGTTTCTTGGGAAAGCAGCATACTACGCAGTCTAATTTCTCGCCAAATTTGTCGACTTTGGGAAAACCGCTGCTTGATCTTCTCAAAGAAAGACAATTCTACTTTTGGAAAAGAGACGTGATTAGCTTACAACAGAATCAAATGAGTTCTAGATTTACAGCAGGTGCTGATCACTTATGACGCAACACTTACATTAGTGCTGGCGACGGATGCCAACAAAACAGGTATAAGCACTGTACTATCGCATCACTTGGAAAATGCAGGCGAACGTCCAATTGCAAATGCAAGTCGTACAATGAGTCCCACAGAACAGCGATGTTCACAAATCGACAATCAAATACTGATACGCTAGAAGTTGGACATTGATAACCGATAACAAACCCATCGCACAAATTCTACACCTTATAAATCACTACCGACACTATGCATTTCTAAGATGGCAAACTGTGCAACCTTTTTTAGCAACTTCAATTGCACTGTACTAAAATATGGAAGGAAAATGTACTTTCCTCCATTACCACTCAACGCAAATGTAGTTGTCCAATTTAACACAGGAAATCGGGACGAATTTTATAATTTCATAATAAGATATAATAAGTAAATCAGCTTTGCTTGTTGCACAAAAAACCAGCATTTGAGCAAAATATTGCAAATTCTGCAGAGCAGCTACTAACGGGTATGACCCGGCCTTGCCCGTGGCACCCATATAACAAATATTCTTAAAAATTCTCAAAAAATCATACAACTTTCATACAAGCGTTGTCCAACAATTTTCCAAAATGAAGCTCAGGGCATCTTTGAACCCCAAATCTACTAAGGAGGGATGTATTTTCTAAAAAGTGCGAAACGTCCCTCAAATTAATTTAAGCAAAGATCTTTGAAAATAAGTTTAGGGCCGATCGGATGGTAAACAAAAAAGTTTCATATAAACGTTTTTCGTGACTTGTCCATACTTTCGGGTGGAACTTTCGAAATCCCCGTCCTAATGTGCACCTACATTATATAAGGGAATGCATGGTTATGGATACCGATCTTCAGACAAAATTAGATCTGCTTAAGCAGAGTTAAACGACACTCCCGATATTCGCATGCTCAGACTTGGGCAAGAAGTAAGTGTTGCAGGACGCGAGGGAAAATGGTCTCGGCGCTGACCTTACGCAGACGAAGGGGAAGGACAGCCGGAAACTTTTGAAGGCGGAGCTAAGCTATAAGGAGTGTCTGACAAGATATGCTACACGGCGGGTTCACACTTATCACGGACCTTGTGGCGCTCATGTGGCCAAGTGTGCCAACATTTTAAAGTCAAACAAGCGAGAGCACCCTGGCGGAAGTTGACAGCTCAAGTGGCAGAACTTCGGACAATGGGTAACGCAAGCATCGCACAGACACCGAAGGAGGAAGCAAGCTCTTTAAAAGTGGTGTCTATTAGCTCTTATGGCTGCTCCAGCACCTGCTCTCCTAGGCTTCGAACGGTCATGCAGTGAAGTTCATGTATTCGTCTCGCCCAATATCGTGCCTTCGGTGCATGAATGACGAATAGCTTACATCAAATCATTATGCCCCAATAAGGCGAATACCAATTGATCATATACGATATATCAGAGGCGAGAAGTTGCGGGCGGTGCACACTTATGTCCATTGCCTAAATTTTGTATAGCTGCACCGCCCGTAGGAAAAACGTGATGAACGAAATATTACCTCACTTAATGTGTTTAAAGACCCCACAAAAAGACAAGGAAATGGACTGGGAGTCAGCGCGGGTCGAGGATATAAGCGTTGAGTCCGGTGACTGCCTATAATCGGAACCCAGTGTGCTCGCGTCGGTAAAAAGGGACGAAACCCCTTCCAGCAAACCGGAGCGGTCACTCACGAGTCAATGACCCCAAAACAACCGTCAATTCTACAGGCATGGCACACCCGCCACCGCGTCTTAACAGTTTGTATATAAACAAGCAAACTTCCAGGAAGGTGTCGTGGAGAAGAGTCCTTGGCCCATATGTCAAATGAAGAGGTCTCGATATCATCAGACTGGTGTTGTTGGGACGAGTGGATATTACGCCGAGGTCAGGTCGCACAAGAGAAGCTTCGCGGCTGATCCAGTTCGACGACGGCCGTCGAGATTCTCTGGAACCATCGGAGATTCCCGCGGGACCGCGGAAATCCCCACAGCCGATAGACCGCCTCGGCAGAAGGGACTGCCGGGGAGGATTCTCAGCAAAGTTTGTGGCGGTGACAAAAAAAATGTGTGTCCAACCAGTGATCCGACTGCAGTTCGCGCTGTTTAACTGGTTGGTCGGTGGTGTTTGGATATGAATTTGACCACGAAACGTCACAAACCAAATCTTTCGGATTGTAAACAAAAAAGTTTCATATATACGTTGTTGCGAATTTTCCGCACTAGGGGTGGAATTTCCCGCAACCACGACTCAACTTGCACCTTCATCACATAAGGGAATTACAGTGAATATTTCAGCTTCCTAGCTCTTACGGTTTGGGCTGTGCGTTGATCGCCAATCTGTAAGTCAGACAGTCAGTCAGGACAAACAGCTTTATATATAGAGGTTAGTTAACACAAACAACCCACAGTGTCGCAGACCGGACAAGCTACAAAGAAGGTAATAGAAGCCTGAAACTTGAGTGACCAAGCTAAGAACGATCACCAGGTGTCAAGTCAGCGTTCTGCCGGGATCGATGACTGAGACCATGAAAGTCGTGGCGTGGGTTTCAGTTATGTTAAGCTCAGTTAATATGATGCAGTTGACAGGCATTGACGCCTAATAGATTTTATTTATTTATATTTATTTATTTTAAATGCTAAAAATTTCATCAACATCGGCTAGGAAACAAAAAAAACATGTTTGCCTGCCCACGTGGTTGCGGCAGCATTCATGCGCGTCCGCTTCGAATTTATCATGAGCTTTGCAATTGCGATTGTATTACTTTCTGTGCTGCTATTTAAATTAATATTTTTTTCTTATTAGGATTAGTTATTGGTGTGGCTGTTGAGTAGAGGCGGCATCAAGTAATGCGGTCAGTTGCAAGTTTCTTTTTATACCCTGAACCCATTAAAAATGGGTATTAGGGTATATTGTATTCGTGCAAAATCCACAAAATATGTAACAGGCAGAAGGAAGCATCTCCGACCCCATAAAGTATATATATTATTGATCAGCACCAATCGCCGAGAAGATCTAGCCATCTCCGTCTGTTTAGCTGTCCGTCCGTCTATCCGTATGTATGAACGCAAGGATCTCAGAACTTACAAGAGCTAGAGACTTGAACTTTTAGATGTAGGTGCTCCTCTGCCTGCGCAGATCAAGTTTGTTTCCGATAATCGATAACTTACCCCATTTCCAAGCAATCGATAAAAATCGATATCGATATCGTGTATTTGGGCAATTTTGGTAAATAATAAGAGCTAGAGTCACCAAACATGATATGTTGCTTCTAAAATAATATATATTTGTCAGCTATCTTTCATTTTATACCTATCGCCTCCTACCCGCTACCACCCCAGAGCTATAAATCAAGTTCATAACCCAACTTTTATTGCCAACCAATTTAAGCCACAATTTAAATGCAATTGTCTTTTTCAGTATACACAAATATTCTATGGTACACTAAGATATACTGTAGAAAATTTCATAAAGATCGGTTAAGAAAAAACCAAAGTTATATGCAACTGCGCAATTGAATAGAGGAGCATCTTTAAGAATTTCTGTATACATGTACACACACACATTCGTGCGCGTCTGCTTCGCATTCTTACAGAAATGTGGCAATACGTGTGGCTGCTGAGTAGAGGCATAGCAAGTGGTGCGGTCTGCCGCGAGTTCGAGCCCTATAGGGGAAAGTATTCTTTTTTTTTTTTTTTTTGGTGTAGCTGTTGAGTAGAGTCGAC